TATTATTATTATTATTATTATTATTATTGTTATTATTATTAGTATTATCATTATTATTAGTGTTATAATAATAATAATTATTATTATTATTATTAGTACTATTATTATTAGTATTATTATTTTCATTATTATTATTATTATTAGTATTATTATTAATATTAGTATTATTATTATTAGTATTATTATTAGTAGTAGTACTATCATTATGGTTGTCGACTGCTCTGGAAAACTGACCGATTGCAATTTTCCCACTCACCAGCACCCTTTGGGCCGCGGCGTGAGCGTAGGCCCAGACCTTCGAGGTCAGTGGTCGGTCGGTCATTCGCCGTGAGCGGTAGCGTAACGACTGCGCCAGAAATTTGGTAGACTGTCATTTTCCTACTCATCAGTAACCTGTGGGCCGGTGCGTGAGTGAAGGCCCAACCGTAGTATGACCAGCGTAAGAATTTGCGCATTTAACGCACGATCGTTGCTCTCCTGGGCATGATTGGCAGAATTTGAGGAAGAAGCCCGACACATCAAATACGACATTATCGGTCTGGCCGAGATAATAAGGAAAGGTGCAGGTGCAATAGATCGTCCAAATGGTGATTGTTTATATTACAATGGGGATGAAACTCGTTCCCAAGGCCGAGTTGAATTGTATACCTCAAGGGAATGGAAAAGCAGAATAATTTCATTCAAATGCGCGTCATCCAGAATTGCTCATTTGAAAATGAAAATCACAACTCGATCAAACCTCAGAAGAATTCAGGTCAGTGCACCACATAGTGGATGTGATGACGGTGAATATAGCAAGTTCTTAGATGAATTAACAGATATTGTCAATCATGACAGAGCAACATTCATCTTAGTCATTGGAGATTTTAATGCAATGGTTGGTAGTAAGAAAATGGGCGGAAATTCAATGGGATGCTTTGGGAATGGCATCAGAAACAACCGAGGTAAGGCAGTAGTTGACTTTTGCGAGGATAACGGTTTGGAGATAATGAATACAATGTTCAAAAAGAGGAAAGGTAGGAAGTGGGCTTGGAGAAGTCCAAATGGCACAACCAAAAACGAAGTCGATTTTATAGTAATCAATAAACATGTCATCCCAAAAAATGTGGTTGCTTTGAATCACTTCAGAACAAGAAGTGACCATCGTCTGGTCAGAAGTGTGATAGCTTTAAAAGATCGGCGGATTTCGACAACTAAAAAAACGATTCGACCGGACCAAAGATACTGAACAAGTCAAGCTATCGAATCGCTATCAGGAATCGTATGGTGAGCGAAGGCGAATCGTATGAAACCTTGCAAAAGGAGATCAGAACAGCCATGATAGAGGCCGAAGAACCGAGACAGTTGCACCGCAACTATCCGCTAGCACAATGAACCTAATGCAAAAGGGAAGGCTCATGAAAAGGGATGGAAATCAACGTTTAACGGTTAAATATGTAGAATTATGCCAAACAACAATAACAAAGAAAATTTAAGAGAACAGAAAGCGAAGGAATATGCAAATTATGAAGGATGCTATTTCTTCAGGAAGGTTGAGAATAGCAAGGAGCGAAACGTTAAGTGGAAAAAAGAGAATAATTGAAGTAGCAAATAATCATGGTGAAATAATGCACACAACAAGGGAAATCGGTGACGCCGTAGGATACTTCTATGAGAACTTATACAGAAGTAGAACAAAGTCACCTTTCAAAAGAGAAAACAGAATGATGATTTCGCACCAATTTTAGAAGGAGAAGTAGAGCACGCAATATCACGAATGAAAGCGGAGACATCGGCTGCACTGGACGGCATAACTGCAGAGGTAGTTAGATTAGCGAAAGATCAACTCGTTCCTCCCCTCACCCGTCTTTTCAATAACATCGTCCGTGACACGGCGATTCCAAATGGCTTCGGAGACTCAAAAACGATTCTGCTCTACATAAAGGTGATCCAAAACAAATAAAAAACTATCGCTCCATATCGCTGCTGTCTATCATATACAAATGTTTCACCAAGGTGTTGAACAATCGAATGCAACCACAACTCGACGCAGCTCAAGATAACGAACAAGCCGGCTTCAGGCCGAAGTATTCATCAATTCGTCAAATCCACACCACACAACTTATCGAAAAGGCCAACGATTACAACTTCCCACTGTACTTGCTGTTTATTGACTTTGAAAAAGCATTCGATTCACTGGAAACAAACGCGGTATGGAATTCACTACAGTCGGCATCAGTTCATCATTCAAGTATTGCAGAAAATTTATGAAGTATCCAAGTCAGCCGTATATTTAAATGACAGCAAAATTCCATTTCGTACGAACAGAGGGGTTCGGCAGGTGGATACTATATCTCCAAAACTATTCAACGCCTACTTACAAACAGTTTATGAAGGAGTAAATTGGCAAAATAAAGGTGTAAAAATTGATGGGAAAGTTGTAAACAATCTCAGATTTGCTGAAGACATTGTCCTAATTTCATACAATTGCAACCAGATAAGGACGATGTTGAAAGATCTCATTCGGGAAAGCAGCAAAATTGGACTAATGATTAATGTCACCAAAACAAAGATCATGACAAACCGTATTATAAAATCACCGCTCACTATTAACGGGAATGTCATTGAAGAAGTCAGCGAGTTCATATACCTCGGCCAGCTCATGTCAATGAAAAGAGAGGGGGAAACCGAAGTGAGAAGAAGAATAAAAATCGGATGGAAATGGTTCTGCAGCTATAAAGAATTTTTAACTGATAAGAGGGTTGGAATGGCTTTAAAACGACGTCTGCATAATGAATACGTTCTTTCCGCGATGTTATACGGATCAGAAACATGGACGGTGACAAACACAATGGACAAATGATGGGAGTAGCCCATAGAAGGATGGAGAGGTTGATGGTAGGGATAAAATTACGGGATAGGAAATCGAATGAATGGTGGAGAGGGGTAACGAATGTTAAAGACTTTGAAAAATGTGCAAGGGAAAGGGAAATTAAGTTGGCAAGAAAAATTGCAACAGTCGAAAGTAGCAACTGGTTGAAGAGGTGCACAGAGTGGCAACCTAGAATCCGAGAAAGAAGTCGGGGTCGACCGAAAATGAGATGGTGAGATAATATTTGCAAAATAGCTGGCCAAACATGGATGAGAAGAGCAGTGAACTGTGAAAATGGTGATAAATGGAGTGATCTTGAAGTGGCTTATGTATTGTACGGAATGTACTGTAATAGCTGAGTAAATAAATAAATAAATGAATAAATGAATTATTATTATTATTATTATTATTATCATTATTATTATTATTATTACTATTATTATTATTACTATTGTTATTATTATAATTATTATTATAATTGCTATTAGTACAGTTCATGGCTTGAATAATCGATTATCTCATGCTGTCAAACCTTCCAAATTTAACTGATCTCAATGTATATTTCGATCGATTTCCGATGACTGCTAATTGCTATGTGTAATCAATGTTTTCTTCTAATGAAGAAATATGTAATTGAGAATGTTAAGCTCACCATCCCCAATATTTTCGAAGGAAACGTTCAAAAATGTTAAGGATGGTGAGCTTAATCGCGCTGTGTGTAATCAACGTTTCGTTCGAATCAACAAAGCTCAACATCCCCAATATTCTGGAAGAAAACGACCGAGAAGGTCACCATCCAAATGGTTCCATCGAGAACAGTAAAAT